GGAAGTAACGCGTTGTATGCCATACTGAACTTTCTGTCATATCTCCAAGAGTGGTTATAAATTCATAATATAGACTCCATATAATGCAAATAACAGTATTTCATATGCCCAACACTACTAGATAATAAACATTTTATTAAACAAGAGATTGGCAAAAGTGGGTTTTGCATTGTAAGTACAGTAGATTATTTTTATTTTTATTTTACAAGCTTAAATTGGGAGATTAGTTTATTATTTGCACTTTGAATTTTAAGTAAAAATCAATGAAGAGTGCTAGCTTGAAACAAGGATCGCACAGCTGTGCTATACTTTAACCACAATTTGTGTAATGCTAAAAAAATAAATAGTATATAGATATTGCGTATAAAAATTGTATTTTCAAAATTTAATTTTTAAACATTGTTAAATGAATATTATTTTTTAAAATTTTTCACTTTTATTTCAGTTTATTGTTTGTATTTTAAAAATTTTCAAATGTTATTGTTGATATTTATTCGGTTTTAATACTAATTATTAACCACTATTCTGATATGAATAATGTGGTTTATAGGATCATTCGGCTACCCCTTCCCCCTCCCCCCACCCTATGGGAAATAACATGGGATTCCATTTTAATCCTATGGCTATACTTAACATGAGGCATTTCTCATAGGATAACATGGGAGACACTTTTGCTATGGGAAAATGCGATTACATGGGTTTCTATGGGATTACAGCTTAAGTCTATAGCATACGGATAACATGGCTAATGCTAAGTCTATGGCATAGGAATAACATGGGTAATGCTAAGTCTATGTCATAGGAATAACATGGGTAATGTTAAGTCTATGGCATAGGAATAACATGGGTAATGCTAAGTCTATAGCATAGGAATAACATGGGTAATGCTAGATCAATGACAATGCTAATCCTATGATTAATGTTAAGTCTATGAAGTTGATTCTGATCTTATGGACAATGATAAATCTATGGATTTAGTGCTTTATAGTAGATTTTTAAAATACAAACAATCAATTAAAATAACAATGAAAAATTTTGAAAAATGATATTCATTTAACAATGCTTTAAAAATTAAATTTTCATCAATGGTAAATCTATGGATTTAGTGCTTTATAGTAGATTTTTAAAATACAAACAATCAATTAAAATAACAATGAAAAATTTTGAAAAATGATATTCATTTAACAATGCTTTAAAAATTAAATTTTCAAAATACATTTATTAAACGCAATGTAAAGGCTTATATATTCTTTGAGAATCACCCGAATAGTGGTTAACGTATAGCATCGCTGTGTGATCCTTGTTTTTGTAATTAATCCTATTTCGTTTGTGTGCTCATATTACATTTATGTTACAGACTTAAGCTATATACTACTAGAAATCCATTATAAAGCATTAGCCCCATAGACTTAACATTAACTATAAGATTAGCATTGCAATAGACTTAACATTAGTTTTATAGACTCAACATTACCCATGTTATTCCTAATGAGGTAAACATGAGCTCATCTCATAAAAATGTCTATATTTTATTGTATTTTATTGCATATTAATACTGCTATTCATAGTATGCGTATAACATGCACTTTTTGCATAAACCTTGGCTGTTAGGTTAAGCTATATACTACTAGAAATCCATTATAAAGCATTAGCCCCATAGACTTAACATTAACTATAAGATTAGCATTGCAATAGACTTAACATTAGTTTTATAGACTCAACATTACCCATGTTATTCCTATGTTATAGACTTAGCATTACCCATAGGATTAGAATTGCCATAGACTTAGCATTACTCATGTTAAAGTATAGCTTTAGACTTAAGCTGTAATCCCATGTTAATTCCCCATAGACTCAAGAACCCAATGTTAAAGTATAACCATAGATTTAAGCTATAATTTTCATGTTAAATCCAATAGGGTGGAGGGGCCGGGGGTGGGGGCCGAACTATCTTATAAACCACTTTTGTCATATATAAATTGTGGTTAAAAATCCAGTAATATCTCATAAATAGTTAGATTTATGAATTTAAAAAGTTATACAGTGCAACTTCTCTTGGATGAACACCTCCCCAGTATGAACGGATTTATAAAGATTAAGATAAAATTTCCACTCCCAATAATGAACAAATATAATCAACAGCACATTATTTCTAAAAGTATTTAAAATAGTTTGTAATCTGAAACTTTAAACAAACAAACAACACATTTTCAATCATAGTTTCATTCAATATTGCATTTTATAGTCATCTTTTTATATCCAAAGAGGCATCCGATGATCAAATGTTTCAACAATTGGACAAAATTAAGATTAAAGCATTTAATTATCATTTAAATACAACTAAAATAATTAAAATCACTGATTATTTCCAATAGTTGCTATTGTTTATAAAAATTATGAAATATTACTCAAAAATAAGACATTTTTACTCGAACTTCCCTTGGATGAATCCTCCCATAATGAACACTTTTGTCGTGCAACTGGCCGTTCATTATAGAGAAGTTGCACTGTATTATTATCAAAATAATTTATCGTAGTTAAATTAACGTTTTGGATATTATTGTCTTAGTTTATGCGCAATATAGCTTATTTCCTACAGTATAATAGTCAATCCATGGAAAGTCAGAAAACTTAACTTTGGATTAAATTTTGGCAAACTACTTTGCATGGACTAGACTTTAACTTTACTTTAAAAGTTAGAATTTTGCCCCGACTTTAAGTTTAAGTTTCCTTTCGTGGACGAGACTTTAACTTAACTTACATAGTAAACCAAACAGCGCATGTGGCTTAACTGGGTAGGGACTAAATAATGCCGTACAAAATATCGTAAATTGATATATTAGAGATATCATAGATGTCTTTGTATACTATTTTGCATGTTAAAGTTAAAGTATCTTTCGTTGGACAAAATTAACTTAAGCTTTTCAAGTTTAAGTTAAGCCAAATATTTTCCATGGACATAGTATAAATAGTGTTAATCTTTTTCTGTGTTTATTGTGCAAACTGTGGTATAAATCTTCCATATGTTAAATTTCGTAAACTTGTAAAAAAAATTTCCGAATAAAACACTAAAACATGGGATATTAATGTCCCAGTTCATGCATAGACTGCTACGAAATTTCAATTTCAGTTTTTTATAACGTTTATAATGTAGGTTAATAATTTAATTTTTAGTAAAAGCAAAATTATGACTGAACAAAAGATAAATCAACTTGGTGACAAAGAAATATTTAAGGCAGCATATTTGGACAAAACATTGTTTGAACATGATGGTATACTATTTAGCAGTATAAATCTAAGTTCGGCTCTAGATTGGTTGCAAAACATTAAAAAGCTTACGGTTAAGCCGACAGACATCTGGCTCTGCGGTTACCAGAAATCGGGCACCACTTGGCTCTCGGAGATCGTGTCCCTAATTATGGCCGACGGAGTGGTAGATAGAGTGTTGGGTCAGCCAATCAGCGAACGCGTGCCCAATATATTCTATAATAATATTAAAGACAAGCAAATTGAATGGTTTGAAAGTTTACGCGAACAGAGAATTGTTAGCAATCATTTGCCCGTTAAATATATGCCAAACTTTGATACAACCAATGGAAAGGTTTGTGTGTTTATAGTGAATGAAAGAGAGAGAGAATATATAAAATTTCATATTATTTAGTATTAGACGTAATTTTTAAAAAAATTTCCACGATATTGAATCAATCCCGATGGGCGTGATATAGTAATGCTGATAACAGGAGACTTGGATTCATGCTTCAAAACATGCAAATGGCCATAAACACCAAGGTTATAGACATATATTTAACCGCAGCTTATAACATTATAAATCTGACGAATAACATTATTCATGCATAACGCCAATTTTCTATGCATTGAACCCTATGACTGCGGTTAAAGATATTTTCATCACTCTGGTGTTTGTGGCCATTCGCAATTTTGATACACGTATATAAATCACAACCATATCACTCACGTCGGGATCGGTTCAGTTTTATGGATTTTTATACATGTATTTTCCATTTTGCGTATATTGAAATATGAAATTAATTTGATAATTTATAGTTATATGGTATATATAAAATTTTTATCACTTAAACAGCTCATATACATAATGCGTAACCCAAAGGATGTCTGCGTTTCTTACTATCACTTTCACCATATGTTGAAGAGATTGGACATAAAGTGGGATCAAATTTACAATTTGTTTTTCAACGGAAATCTTTTAAACGGCGATTGGTTTCAACACTTGAGTGACTATTGGCTCACTTATGGCTCGAATCACACAAACGTGTTGTTCGTCGCGTACGAGGAGTTGAGCGCAGACTTGCCGGCAATGGTCCGCACAATCGCCCGCTTTCTCGGCAAACAATTTACCGACGAAACGGTCGATACGATTGTCAATCACTGCTCGTTTGACACAATGAAAGACAACCCAATGGCTAACCGAAGCGAATGGATGTCAACACCAGGCGCTAGATTCGTAAGAAACGGTTCAGTTGGCGATTGGATGCGACACATGACTGACCGACAGTCGATCCTTTTTGACGAGCGATACGGACAGCAGTTGCGGGCAATTGGGCTCCGGGTCTGCGATAATATAGATGACGCGCAGAACTGTATGTCTACCACCGGACGTATTATTCAAAGTATCAAAAACTAATGGCCATTACTTTTTTAACAATATATTTATTGATTTCTTCTCTTTATATTAAATAGTGTTTTTATTCAGCAATAAATATATTTAATCAAGATTATATTTTTAACTAAAATATTTTTCTTATATGATTTGTAGTTATAAATGGGTATTTAAACAATTAAAAATGTTATAATTTAATTCATCAATTTAAACAGTTAAAAATTATGATCAAGTAAAGTTATAGGATTAAATTTTATTTATAGGATAGATTTATTGAAACATAATTCATAAACGCAATCTTAAATCTACACTGAATTTGTAATTAAAATTATCATAATTAGAAATTAAACAGATAAATGATTCAAATATTTGCCATCAAATCGTGAACCCGAGGCCAGTGTCCGGCCGTAAACACGAGTCCGATCTCACGGAACAAATGATTGATACCAAACACCGGCTCCGGACTCGACTCCGACTGCCGTACGTACAGCTCCTGTGGTCTACCGCTTAGAGCGACGTCTCTTAAACCTGAATTAGAGTCGATATTAACGACGAGTGCGTCGGCGGGCAAGCGATCGACCGCTTCTTTAAAAAAATCTGTGGACAACAAAGTATTGGCAAAACTCTCGGCCGCAGAGAAACCGATAGTGTTATCGGCGGTGCCAACCAGACGAAGGGTAGGCCGCGATGTAAATATCAAGCGATCGCTGGGCTTAGAGTGTGTTCGCTCGGGCACCACCTGGGTGAATTGGTCGAGTAGCACTTGGCCCATATTGGGTACAAATAAGTTACCAGTATGCAGAGGGTTATACTTTTTTCGCACTTCAGACACTTGTATTTGCCGGGCGTGTAAAGCGTCGCGCAACTCATATACGGCCACTTCCGTACCGACTACGTTGAAATGGCTGTCGGCGTAGTGCGCGGCCACACATATGTCGGTGCCGTTCGCGCAATGGCGCTCAATCTCGTGCCATGAGTTTACACCTCTGAACGTCCACAATGGCCGCGGATTGTCCGGAAGCCGCACCGCTTGACACATCGCCAGGCATTGGCGCCGATCGCACAGTCCGTCCAGATATAGGCACATCAGTTCGCCGAGAGATGCGCCCAAATAGCCGTCGGGAGTGACCCCTACGGCGCGCATCACGTCCACGAACGCCATGTGATGTACGGCTGCGGCGATAAACACGCGGTGAATATTTTGGCCGTTCAAATCTGTCTCCCAAAACATAGTTTCGGTCAAACACTCGATGGCGTCGACTCCCATAGAGTGCACAATTTGAGCCGACATTTCCACCGATGCCTTAAACGCTGGGATTGTCATTAAAGCGCAAATATAATGTGATAGATTTTCGTGCAAACCTAACATTTATATTCGGTTTGAGTAAAAAATAGACATTTATTTGCACAAATATAAATATGTTTTACCGGTAAACATAAACCAAATGCTGGGTTTGTTTTGTGCCGATTGTTTCGTAATGTGTCTCGAGATCTGTTGAAATCGGTTGCCGTCTGTAGTCGTCGTGAATACCGCGAATCCGCGCCACAAGTCGTCGTCCACTCTATTCAAGTCATTCGTACGACTTTTTTCTTTGAAGGCATTGTCGAGAAGTGTGCAAAACTCGTCGTCGACTTTGCGGTCGCCGCCGAACCCTTTGTCTAATACATTGGCGACAATACGTTGCGTACGACCGGAGACCACAACCAGTCGTGATTGTTGTTGCACTTGTCGTCCGCTTTGGGCACCGCTTTCGCTTTCATTGAGTTTTGGGTTTTTGTAAAAATCTAATTTTGTATATAATTTAGTTTGAATTTTATTTCACTACTATACAGTATGTGTAAGTTATGGTACCATATCAACAAATATTATATAATGAATGTTATGTAAAAATTGCATAATATCTTGTGGCAGTAGTGGTTCAGCCATACAGTACGTCACTCAAGTACATTTAGCACTTAACTGTAAACAATGGTGTACTTGAGTGACGTATTGTATGGCTGAACCACTACTGCCACCAAATATTATGCAATTTTTACATAACATTCATTATATAATATTTGTTGATATGGTACCATAACTTACACATACTGTATACTAAAGCTACTCGGCTTCATGTTGAAGAAACTAGCTTTTCATTTAACCCAATATAATAAATAAAAATGCTTGAATTATTTATTTGCCAATAAAACAATATATGTTTTCTGTGTCTGAGAATTCCTTAGAAATTAAAATTTTGATATGGTACATTTATAATCAGGGAATTACATTTACCTATGCCACCTATTTTTAGCGGTTAATAGCATTACCCCCAGACTCGGGATGTGAACCGATCATGTATTAGGAATCATTTTGCCGAAAGTTTATTTTACCTATATTTACCTATTTGAGGCGTTAGTAACTATTTTAACTATTTCTTAAATTTAGCTAAATTTTAACGTAAAAGTTGAAATATTTATAATTAAGTTCAAATATAAGTGAGTTCTAGAAATTATAAATCAATATATAGTGTAAAGAAAGCGAAATATCAATAGTTTTAGTTTCAAGTTTTTATTCAAATTAGTTCAATTACCAAAAGTGTCAGTATTGTGTTGTTGGTCGTCACAAATACCACACAATAAATTATTAATTTAATGAAATTCATACAAATACATTGAATAGACATTATATTTAATGTATTAAATATAAAAACTAACGAATAATAACTTTATAAAAATGATTTTAGGCCTATTTTATCAAATTATAACTACCAATTTAAGTACCTATTTGGGGTGTTATTACTATCTATTATAGTGACTATTTGGGGTCTTATACTCACCTATTCATCAGTATGAATAATGTGGTTTATAGGATCGTTCGGCCCCCCTCCGCCCCCCCCCGCTCTATGGCATTGGAATAACATGGGTAATGATAAGTCTATGGGTAATGCTATATCTATGACA